AGGTTAAAACCGAAACCAAGCCATTCACACAGAACGCATATTCAGAGCATTTTTTAGACGAACAAATATGACTGCTGCACTCACGTCTCTCACAAGAGATGTATAGAAAGCCATGCACAGTTAAAACAGTTTAAACTTTTAGAAAACACGTCACAAAGTTGTGGAGGTTTATTCCTTTTCACTTCGTCTCATATTTTAAATGCAATCTGTGTGAATGGCGCTTCGGCTCTTTGGATTAAGCAATGCATAAATACATGATGCTGTTTTGTTCATAATTGTTTATGCAATTTACGAAATTACATTTGATTTTTATGACTTAATTTAGACGTAATGCACGTTTTTTTTAATAGAGTTACTTCCTTGCGTTGATAATTTAAATGCGCTGCATTATTTTGCTCATTGCACCCTCGGAAGACAAGACAAAAGTTTCTTTAAGACCTATTTAATCTGCATATAAAACATTAGAAATTAGATATGTTTAATTTTTATTTTGTGCTTGATTGTTAAAACAAAAAATATTTGTTTTTTTGTTTCAATAAATTTTTATTTAAAATGTTAATTTAAAAATACAGTGGTTAAATTTAAACCTTTTTTCTATTGCTCTTTGTTTTAAAAAAGGTTATAAAAAATGTCAATAATTATTGATACCGAACGATATGAAACATTATATCGTTGATACATTTTTTAGCTATATCGCCCAGCCCTAATATATATATATAACAGGATCAGTATAAAAAAAATCCTGCAATCTGTAATTTACTGGCAGCAAGTGTGCTGGAATCTGATTGTAGAGAAGGAAATACATCAGGATATTACTTTCAGGAAAGTTGTTTGGAATGTGGCCAGATAAAGATTTAGTGAAGCAATATGTGAGCAAATGTAATTGTGCAGCATTTTTAGCACTGTAATGAAATGAATGGTCACCTGTCGAGGGAGCGCGAGCTGAACTCCTCTCCTCCGGCCGAAGGGCTCAGGTAGATCTCCATGGCATCTTCAGCCGCGGTGCACGGCGAGGACGACGGCAGATACACAGCCGTCCACAGCTGCAGCGCTCGCGTGTGACAGACCGGCTGCAAAACCTGCCGACATCACCACAACAACAACTCAGCATCTGCATTCAACCAGAGGTATCACGTAAACAAAACACAATAAATGAGGGGGGGAAATAATGTGAATTTCTTTTAAACAGGCTTCTCACAGTCTTGGAAAACCTTCAAATATCTGTGATTTTTAAAACAGTGATTTCCAATCTGTAAAAGGCACAGAAATGAACAAAATCTTAAAAAGTTATGGAAATTTCTCTGGTAAATATAAACTGTTTTTGTTAATTGGCTAAAATTGCTTTTTTGGAAAAACAAAAATGTTAACCGAGTCTCTCGTTGAAAGCTTATAATTAATCAAAAAGTGCATGGATCTTGTTTAAAGTAATTATGAGTTTGTGTTTAGACGTGACACAAATCAATGTCTTAAAATAAATGTAGCATATGTATCATATAGTTAATTAAAACCATTAAAACCATTTCCATTACTTGACATAAAAATATAACGTTTTATTTTATTTCAGCTAGTTGCCAAGGCAAGATTTATCATTTTTGCTTAGTTTAACTTTATGCACTAAAATATGAAATAAAAATTAAAAACTATATAGACATATCAAAAAAGTAACACTGCATTTACTGGGCATTACATAAATAAAGCACAACAAATGAGAAAGTTTAATGCGTCTTTTAAACAGGGTTCTCACAGTCACAGAAAACCTTTAAATATCTGTGAATTTTAAAATGGCAATATCCAATCTGGAAAAGACTGAGATATTAATCAAATCTTAAAAAGATATGAAAATTTCTAAAGTAAATATAAATAGTATTTGTTCAGCTCTAAGACACCTAATTGGCTAAAACCCCTTTTTTAGAGTCTGCAGTTGGAAGCACAATTATTATCAGGATGTGAATGCAGCATAAATCCTCTCTGAACCAATCCAAAGGCGTGCTTTATAGTGTTTTGTGTGTGTTTGGAGGTGCGCTGACCATATCATGGCAGGGGATGTAGAGGAAGTTCTGGAAGTTCTTGTTGCCGTTGCGCAGGAGCGACCAGATGGAGCAGGTGCGTTTATAGACGTTACGGGCCTCGCGCTCTTTCGCGTTATTGCACAGGAACGTACCGTACAGACAGGAGTATGTGTGCTGAACCAGCTTCACCTGGAAATACAATCAGTGTAAAACTGAACAACAACAACAACATCTGGATGAGACCTACAGGTCATATAAACTGAGGATTTGTGACCCTGGAGCACAAAAGCAGTCTTAAATCGCTGGGGTATATTTGTAGCAATAGCCAACAATACATTGTATGGGTCAAAATTATCGATTTTTCTTTTATGCCAAAAATCATTAGGATATTAAGTAAAGATCATGTTCAAAATTTTGACATTTTATTCTCCAAAAACTTATTTGAAACCTTAAAAGTAGACACTTTACTTACATTCAATGTGCTTTCTATGGACATAAAAGCACTTTTGTAAATTTCTTTTGATGCGGACATCTTAACGTCTTTGACCCTATTATAAAAAGTAACGCGTTTACTTTTTAATACCATAATGGTACACATTATGCTGACATACCAGAAAGGCCTCGTTGAACTCGAAGAGGCAGGGGAACTGCTTGAGGAGCTGATGAACACAGTCCAGCCAAGAGTCAAAAACTTACATACAGCACCTTTAAGGCAAGAAGTAGGTCCCGTGTAAATATCGGATCAGCTTTCCAGTTTTGCTTTGTTTCACAGAACTAATCCGTTGCCTGGGTTGCGTACGTATGTGTGAGGCGGAGCTATCAAAATAGTGATTTCAAATGTCAACATTGGCTACCAGAAACCACTTACCCTACCTTTAACGTTTCTAAAGACACATTTACACGGCAAAGCTGGCAGAGAAACTGCATCTGCAGTAGCATTTAGATGAATTTACACTTACACCTGCATAAATAAACTGCCTTTGATACTAGGAAGAGTGTTGCTTTAGTATCATTGATATACTACATTTGCATTTTTGTTGTTATTTTGAATTAGATTTTATTTTTAGTTTTTCTGTTTTTGCACTTTAATTTATTAAAGTTTTAGTATTTTTGTGTGTGTTTTTGCCATTTTTTTAATGTCTATATAGTATTTATTAGGGTTGCAAAGGGGTGGAAAATTTCCGGTAAATTTCCGGAAACTTTCCAAAAAAAAAAAAAAAA